ATGTATCGCGATGATTCCCAAGCACAGATACTCTTGCCTACTGCAGAGCGGCCAAGAAATGAGTGGGAAACTCCTTGTCTCCCAGAAAAGACCAGTTCTTTTCTCATCAAAGCCTGGTTCAGGGCAGGACAGGCAGAGAGCATGCCGGCCCCTCTGCTTGGGGCCATTAGAGCTGACCAGAGCCGCCTTCACCAGGGGTGGTGTTAGTGTTGCTTCCCCAAGGGGTGTCTCATTTGGACAATGAGTGGATTCGAAATGGTTCCAGTATGCAAAGGAATGCTTTCCCCTCACTGCGGGGAGGCTTCTGTGCGGGGCAGGAATGCAGCAATCAGACAGGCACATCACACACCAGTAAGCTATGTGATCCTTCTGTGCACATCCTTCATAACTTCCCCGAGCCCTCAGGCCAGGGACACACACACACCGTGAGAGAGCTCACAGGGAGCGAGTGGGAACCCTGGACTCCCCCAGACGAGAGGCCTGTGGATAATAAGCGCTGCATCGATCATGTGAGGTCCAGAATTGCATAAAGTGGATTAATTTCTAAGGCTGCAATCTCATTTGAGTGTGTCAGAGATTAAGGGATGATAATGTTCAAACTTCTGCTTCAAACTTCAGGAGCAGAGAGTGGCCATTTTCAAACACTGTGCTTGAGCAAGGCCCACGTTACTGCCAGAAATTCGACGGTATTTCAGTGGTGCTGAAGCGTTCGGCTTCTTGTGATGAAACAGTGAAAAAGTAACGCTCTTCACTTGGCACAAAAGCATCTAAACCTCATAAAAATATTGACCTGACATACCACTGGTTGCTGCTTTTTTGGAATTTAAGATGGGATTGTGATTCTATTTGAACTTAGATCTTCCACATTTATTTCCACTTGGATGTAATATTTAGAAATCCATTTTGGTTTTCGAGATGGGGTCTTGCTATGCAACTCAGGATGGACTTGAACTCATGATCCTCCTGCTTTAGCCTCCCTAGTGCTGGGATTACATAGGTGTGCACCACAAAATTTAGCTTAGAAATCCACAAGATTTTTTCCATGGCAGAAGGGTTGTGTGCACCAGATTTCTATGCCAGGAGCCTCACTGAAGACACCTGGAGGGTCTTGCAGGGCTGTGTTGTTTTGGTGGATCATTAACTTCTGAGACTTGCTTTGCTTGTGCCACAAAAATGCCCTGGTTTGCAGACACAGATTTGTCACCAGTAGTGGCCTCGTGGGTGTGGGTCTCTTAAGAATATGCTGCGCCCCCTGCAGAGCACGTGTGGTGCTATAGTTACACTTATTTATTTATTAAAAGATTGGACCCCGGATGGACTGACCACTGGCGCGCTGGTCACAGGGAGCTCATTTATCTATTTTCCCCACTTTTGCATAAAAGTTTCCATAAAGTAGACTTTTAAAAAGCATGCATTTTTAAACAAATAACCCTTTGGAATAAAAATATCACACCATAAAAGTTCATTTATATAGTACTCTGAACTTCCAAACTCAAAGAATTCTTATTTGGAATTGTTTATGTAATCAGATGGAATACTGATACAGTAATTTCCATTTGGCTTCAGTGAATTTTATTAAGGAAAAATGCTGAATCTATCAACTCTGTTTACAAGTCAACTGTTTTTTGAAGATAGGTTTTCCACCAAATAACTATTTAATACACCTTTAATTTGGAAAGAAATATTGCATATTATATTTTTTTGCTGCTGTCATTGGAAAGCATCTGTTTATCTCTTATACGCTCAGGACACTTGCATCAGAAAGTAATAAAATCCAGACTTTTAAAAAGTGTACTGTGGGTCCGCCTCTCCTTACTGCAGCCTGGCTCTCTTCCCCAGTCTCCTCCAGACTGCGCCTGGGCCAATGCCCGGGCATCCTGATCCTCAGTGGGGGAGGGCGTGAGCTCAGGTTATTTCACTTCAGTGAGGACAAAGTCAGCCGACCCAGCTGTCCAGAGCTAGGGAGCACCCTAGTGGCCTGGACCAGCCAGTGACTCACTCACCAAGGGAAGTGGGCCTCCTGTGTTTTTAAACTGGGCAACTAGACGTGATTAGTACGATGATGTTAGTCATATTATAGCACCAGGTAAAAACTGCCATTAGTGAGATCTTTGCTAATGAAACGTTCAGTCGTTCTTCATCCTAGGGACCAAGTGGCCTGCATTCCACATTGCAGAATTATACACAGGCTGAAATCTGTAAAGGTTGTGGAATTCTTGAGTTTTTGTAATGATTCCCTGCATCCAAAGTCTCTGACTCTTACTTGTTGTACCTCAGTGAGCAAATACACATTTTAACACCCCCATTCCTGCCTCAGGCGGCATCGTTTGTGATTAAGGGCCGCTGGGGACAGAATCACTGTTCACTCATGCTGTCTCTTATGAACAGCAAGTTGATAACACCCCTGGGCCTCAGTTTCCCCATCTGTCAAAAGGGTATAATAGGTAGCAGGTACATTACAGTAGTAGGAGGACCCAATGGGTTAAACAGTGCCTAGAATATGGCACTACAGTTACGACTTAGCATACTGCACGTGTGTTCTGCTTCTTAGAATCTGTGTCTCAAGTGACCTATCCACAGGGTCTGCTGGAAGTGAACCATTTGAGGGACACTGTTGTTGTGCAAGCCTTCATGCAAAAGTCTGTGGAGGGGTGCTGGAGTCGATGCACACAGGCGAGATACGTAACTCATTGTGCATTACAGCACGCTGCATTTCACTGGATCCCTGCAGCAAGGAATTAGTGGGTAGTCTAATCTTCTCAAGGTCACGGTTTCAAAGAAGAGAAGTGTTTTGAACCCTTCTGCAAAATTCGTAGAACATTCCCCCCATCTCACAGCAGTATAAGAAACGAACTGAAATTAGTTAAGGTACCTTGAGGGTGAGTTAACCACACATTGGATGGTTTGATCAGTGAGCTATTTTAGGTGAAAATAAGAATGCCTTTAAATGTAAAGAGGGCGGAGAAGAGTTAAAAGTGTAAAGGAAAGAAATCCCAAGGCTGTAGTAAGTGGTGAATAACCGCATTGACTTCACTCAGAAGAAGGAGGATTATTCACCTTCAGGATCAAATTGTGGAAACCTTAATAATCACGTAAGTGGCTCGAGGTCTTAGCCCTGGCTCTACATCCTTTCCTTCCATATCTTGTCGTTAACTCCTTTTCAATTCGCAACGATTAACCTGTTGTATTTCACAAGAACATGTCCTGCAAACTTGTAAATGAATTTCCCTCATCGCAGACCACAGTGAATTGCATCGTTCTCAGTTGTGTGGCTGGAGTTCCTCCACCTGAGTGGGGAATGTCTGGTCCATATGGTTGCCTTTTCTGTAAGGACAACTAAAGTCAAAAATGGTCCAAAGTAATCTTCTCAAATTAAAAAGTATTTTGTAGAAGCACACAATAGGAAAATAGCTGTTTTACAATTTTAAAGTTGAACTAATAGCGTTGTACTTAAGGTTTTGGTGTGTCCCTAGCACTGGTTAGTGCTACCGTTAGGGTAGAATTAGCAATTTCACATAGGATACCTGGAGGCCTCTCGATCATTTTCTCTGTCCTCCACATCCAGCTTTGAAATTTCCTAGTGATGAGGTCTGTCTGTCTAGAAATTCATTAACTTTCACTTCCTTGAATAGAATAAAGTCAAGAAGAATTTACAGTAACACAATTTATGAAGTTTTAACAAATGTTTCATTCTACAAGCAAATATCGTTTGTTCACTTAGTGATTTTTCTCTTGTCCTCCTTGGAAGGAAATATGACTTGTGAAATTCAAACATTCTGCTGCTATGTATGAGTACAACTTCATTTATTGATGGCCTATTAGCTTCTTTGACCAAAAAAACAGAGGGTGGGTTCTTCATCTCTTTGCCAGGGTTCTTTGTCCTGATCCACTTTATACTTGCTCAGATTGCTTTCTGGATCGTCTAGTTTGATCCTAAAGCAGTATCTTAATCAAATGATGAAAGCCAGTGTATTTATGTATTTCCTTTGTAAGAAGAAGGTTAGTGCATCCATAAAATGTTACACCACAGGTGGAAATCCTTATTCCAACCTACCTCTTAAGAGAGGAAGTCTCTGGTTGCTGTTCACCATTGTGAGAAGTTAGGGGACCTAGTGGCACCCCGACTGAGGAAAGGCTTTATATTAATGTATTTCTTTCCCCCAAATAGTTAATTAGGAAAATAGTTTGATTTTGTATCAAATCCCTATATATATATATAATATACCCTTTGGAAAATAATTACATTCCTTGTGGTTATGGAGGAAATCTGAAGTAACATTTGGTACAAAGGTGACCTCATCTGAATGAAGTGGCCCATGGCGAGCTACTTACACAAGCTTAGCAGAAAATTCCCATGGAATGGTTTTGCTAGCTACATTTGTTCTGCCTTTTCGAGGACACAGAATAAGTAGAGGCGACCACTCCCCAGCTGAGCAGATGGTGATGGCAGACTGGGCCTGACCCTGAGCCGCCCCAGGACAGCACCAGTTAGGACAGATTGGTGTGCAGTCCCTCGGGGGCCAAGTTAACAGAAGGAAACCAAGCATTCGATACAACCTCCAGGTGAGTGATGTCCTGTGTAAGGTAGTCACCAAAGGGCAAAGTGAGATGGATGGTAAGACACAGGGTCACCCAGGGGTTAAAGGTGAACTGGAAATCCAGTGGAAACCAGTAAATTAATGTTACCAAAAATGCTATTCTCACATTATAAGGAAGTATTGCAAGAAAAGAAACCAGTAGCCAAAATCTAATATTGCTAGTCCAACGTGGATCAAGCGACAATTTGGTGACTCTGTTTTAGTGCTCATATTCCAGTGTCATGAAATGAGTGCCTCCCCCAGGCTATATTGGTTCCATAGACATTTTGCAGTTGTCACCTGCCCTGAGCGACCCTGTCCCCCTCCCCCCACCCCTTGGATGGGGACAGGGTGCACAGCACATCTGCACCTGGGGTTGCGGGGCCTGCTCACCTGTGGCCTGCTCGCGGGTGGCCTGCTCGCCCGTGGCCTCCCTGATCTTGCGGCCGGCTGCAGAGCTGCGCAGCAAGCTCCGGCCCGAGCTGAAGAGGCTGGCCAGCTCGTCCAGGGGGCTGGATGGCGGCCGGGCGTGCGGGGGACTGTAGGGCCCGGGCGGGGAGGCGGCGGGGCCCCTCCTGTGCTCGGGCCTGGTGGCCCTGGCCCTGGCGGGGGACTGCGGCGCCTGGCTGGGCTTGGGCAGCACCCGGGGCGCGTCGCTGGCGGGCGGGAAGGGGAAGTGCGAGGGCGGCCTGCCGGGCGCGGGGGGCGGCCCGGGGGGCGGTGGCGGCGACATGGGTGGCGAGGCCCTGCCGGACAGGCCTGGGGATGCTGGCCTGTCGCTGTCCCCCTTCTGCGTTTTGCAATACTGCGGCGACAAGGGGCTGGATCCTTCTGACTGGACCGGGTACTTGAGGTTGGTCTCCAGGACGGGCAGCCTCTTCACCTCCAGGGGCGTCAGGGGCGACTCGTCGGAGGCCGGGGAGCAGGTCACCGGGGTCGGGGGGAAGACCAGCAGCGGGGGCCGGTGAGGCAGCAGATTGGGGAACGGGGGCGGGATGTCACAAGTGTCCCTAAGGGGCTGGCAGCTCCCCTCCACAGCCTCCAAGGCGATAGCTTTCCGGGTCTCCAAGAACAGCGGAGGCGAGGAGGCCAGGAAGGAGGCCATCCCCAGGCCGCAGCCCTCTTCGGGCAAGAAGTACTTCATCTCCTCGTACACGGACTCGCCCTGGTCCTGGCTGTCGGCCCCAGGCCCGCCCGCCCCAGCCGCGTTCCCCACCATCTCGATGTACACGGGCTCGTCGGTGTCGTCGTCCTCGTCCTCTTGGGGCAGAGGCAGGCGCAGCGGCAGCTGCGGAGTGCACTGAGGAGCCGTGTCCGCTGGACCCGCCCGCTGCGCACTTGGTGTCCCCGGGGCCTGGCGCGCGCCCGGGGGCCTCGGACCCCAGATCTCCTCGTAGGAGCCGCTGAGCTTCGTGTTCGGGCTCCTCTTTGGCTTCCGAGGGGGAATCTTTTTCATGGTGCTGTAGTCGTCGCTGTGGGGTCTGGGCCGCGTCAGAGCTGAAGGGGAAGACAGGGAGACCGAGGATGAATGAGCGAGCGAGGTGCCCCAGGGAAGCCAGCTCCGGCTGGGCGCGGTGGCCCTGCGCCAAGGTCACCTTGGGTGCCACGGGCCTGGAGCTGTGCAGAGCCCAGGTCTGTGCCCCTCCACTCTCCAGGAACCCCAGCGGACCTCCACCACCCGAGACCACCAAGGGGATCAGTGACCTCCGACCTCCCCCGGAAAGGGGGTAAAGGGAGCCACAGCGGAGGGAGTGAAGTGCCTGTGTGTTAGGAAGAGGGCCGGCCAGTGAAGGAGAGAGAGGACAGGTCAGGGCGAGGGTCACAGAACAGGGTGCTTGGGGATGGGGCGAGGGTGGATAGTGGCAGAGAACCACGGTTTTAGAAAAAGACTTGGGCAAATCTCACTCAGCCTCAGTGTAGTGACCGTGTCACTCTTGACCCCAGGGGAATAAAGCTGACAGGTACTGCACACAGGAATCATCCAAATGGAAATGGAGCTTGGTGTGGTGGCACACACCTGTAATCCCAGCACAGGGGAGAGGGAGGATGGAGATTCGGAAGCCAGCCTGGGCTGCACTGTGAGATCCTGTCTCAAACAGAACAAAACAAAACACAAATGGAAATAGAAAAGGACAGAAAATAAAAAAGTCTGTTTTCTAACTCCTTGTGTTGCTAGTACAGTACAGTGCTCCTAAGGCAATCAACTTTTAAGAACAGAAAATACCTGAAGTGTGCAGTTCTCTGACTAGGAAGCATTATTCTAGAGACTTCCAGGATGCTATACCTAGCAGCTCCTACCTTTCCTGGACAGAGGCGATCCCACCCAGCGTTACCATTAGTGTTACAGAGCTGTCCTGAAGACAAGAATAGTTTTCAGGATTTGTGGCAGATGGTTTTATCCCCAGCTGGCTTCTGTGTTTCTAGCCCCACGTGCCCTTGCTGAACCTGAACCTTGGGTGGGTGGGTGGAAGGGGGGTCTCTGGCTGCCCAGAGAACAAGATGACAGGTTGGTTTCATCTGCCCTCTGAGACTGAGCCCACCCTTTTGGGACACACAGTGTGAGAGTTCTGGCTTCCAGGTTAGATGTCTGGACCCCCTGAAGCAGCCCTGTCTTGGAGAAACCTTGGAGAGACCCTGTGTGCTCTGGTCTTCAGCTGCCAGTTTTCTGGTCCCAGCCATACATGTCATGAACTCCAGCCCCAGTCGTGTTTGGCTGCAGTTGTGGGGCCTGCAGATTGCTGCCTGGTGGGGCCAGTCAAGTGCTAGAACGTGAGAGCACACCAGTGCCTGAAAGGGGGCTTCTGCCATATGTGAAATGCCAAACACCATTTGGCACAGTTTGGCAAATCAGGGACATTGAAGGGACCATCCACAGAAGCTTGTAGCCCTGGAGGAAGCTCCAGCTGAGGTTGGAAGGAACGTGAGGGACAGGAGACATGAGAGATGGAGGAAACATGACATTTTTTATAACACAGTGGAAAGTCTGGGGTGCTGTTACCCATGGTGATGGGGCAAACTGGAAACTTGCTAAAGTGACCTGGGTGATCTGGTGAAGCAGAGTCGCAGCTGCACTGGGATTCTTCCTGATTCCTGGAGGGCAGCATGACAGTGGAGAGTGGAGGCAATGACAACTATTACCACAAAGGAAGCCAGGACTCTCTGTACGTGAAAGTGCAATGGTTGTCTCAAAATGATTCTAAAATTAAGAAAGATCTTCTGAGCAGAGATGGGAAAATGGGATCTAAAGACCAAACCAAGGGCTAGCAGAGTGGCTCAAGTGGTAGAGGGCTGCCTAGCAAGCATGAGGCCCTGAGTTCAAATCCCAGTGCCACCAAAAAAATAATAAAATAAATAAATAAATAAATAAAGCCAAGTATGAGTTGATGAGGCTATTGATTAGATCCTCAGAAAGTTGGTGGCAGTCCCTCACAGACCTCTACAAAGAAGCAGAGCTACGGGTCCCTTGAGAACATCCAGGCTATTGCCTCACAGAAGCACTCAGTGTCCCTGACACAGGGACACAGGAGGGATTAGCTCAGAGGTTCATAGAGGTGACTGGTGACTAACAGAAAACATCACAAATTGACTCACAAGAAACTAACAAAGCTTTTGTGAGAATTGTCAATGTGTCTTGAAAGAGTCAATACAAATGAAGAGAATTTGGGTTCTCAGAATTTTGTCAACAGGAAGCAGACTGAGATGACAACCGGCCCCCAAGAGGAACCCTTTCTTATAGACCAGGAATTACAATTCAAAGGGTGAAAGCAAGATTTCAGAGCACAGACCTAAGAGCCATGGAAGAGCTGGTGGAGTGGCTCAAGCAGTAAGAACGCCTGCCTAGCAGGCATGAGGCCCTGAGTTCAAACCCCAGTGCTGCCAAAAACAAACAAACAAACAAAAGTAAGCTAAGAGCCATGGGAAAATCACAGTCAGGACCAGGACTCTGTTCCCAGGGATGCAGTACTGGCACATTTCTAGCTGTTGCTCAGAACTACACATACCGTGTCAGTGCCACATGACTTCCCTTTTTAGGTAGGGACATGTGTACTCGTCCTTCACCTGTCCCTCCAGTGTACGCTGGCTGTCTGGGGGAGAAGGTTTTGGTCACAAGCCTTCAGATACTGTCCACTGGTGGACCTTACCTGGGGAGTCTGCTCACCTGGCCCTGACTCAGTGGAGGAGGCCTGGCTCTGGGGTGCCTGTGGTGCACTGATGGAATGAAAGAAGGTGATAGGGCATCAGAGGAGGATCTGGGAGTGTTTTATATGAGGAGTTTTTTGTTTTTTGTCAGAGTGTGGAATGAGGCAGATGGCACTTTCCAGAAAATTTGACTCATTATTATTTCCATTCCTATCAAGAAGTAGAATGCATGCCTCTTTTCCTAAACCTGGCTGGGCCCAGATGCCCCTATGGATAGAAAAGGGCAGGGAGATGCTTGCTATGTGACTTACAGACTGCTTATCCCAGGCAATGCTAAGTCTGCCTGCTTTCCCTCTTCAGTGCACATGCCTTTGGAACATGGATCCTCTCTGTATGACTTTCTGTACTCCAAAGCTGCCCCAGCAAGGACAAGAGGTCACCCAGAGATGCATAGACTTCAGACAGTCAATACCAGATACAAGAATGCCAGGTGTTCAGGATGATCGAAGTCACCTTCATAAGGGACCTTCATGGACTGGGAACCATGCCAGTGTGCCCTGCTGACATCCAGAGCCCAAGAGCTAAAGCAAAACCATCCCATCATTTCAAGTCACCACATTTTGGATGGGTTGTTAGCCAGGGATAGACAATGGACAGAGAGTTCCCTCAGGTTGGCTTTAGATGCGGATAAAAGCTTTTTTGTATTAAACAAGTATACAGCTTTAGGAAGCACCAAGAAACAGGGCTCTGGAGTCCCACTGCTAGGACCAAAGATTGGCTGTGTGACACTGGGCATGTCACACCCTGCTTCATGACTCAGGTTCCCCATCTATCTAAGAGCCATAGTGACAGAAGATACTAGCACACGCTAGTATGCACCTGTTCCCAGCAGGTGCATTATTCCTGCTGCACAGCTAGAATGAATCACGGGAGATGGACGGGGTTCTTAACCAATGAGAAGGACTTCAGCTGGGGGGGTGGGGTGGGGGGGTTGTGGGAGGGTGAGGGGTGGAGGGGATGTGGGTAGGGGGTGGGATAGCTGGACACAGCTGCACAGGTTGTGTGTGCAGGTGGAACAATTTCCTGTCCCACTCTTTAACAGATAACTTGGACACTCTAGGAGTCAGAACCAGAAATCAAGATTGAAATTAGACAAGCATAGTTAGAGAATTAAGGTCGAGTTTGGTTTTGTGGTTATTTCTGGGTGCACGGATGGGAAATATTCAGCTGCAAATATGATTTAAGGGCCAGTAAAAATTTATATTACGAATTTTCTTAAATTTTTAGCCCTAAAATGTATGCATGAAGCATTTGCGATGACTTGACAATGCCAACGAGATGGAGCCCAGTAGACATTCTGTGAGCTCAGGGTACCTTTAGGGAAAGGTTTGGTGTCAGTCCTAAAAGGTACTTAGGAGTTTCTCTACCTTCCCGAGTCTCAGCACTTAAAAACACCCCACTTCTCTGAGCTGGCAGGAGACTCGGGGGCTTGTTGCGTTTAATCTCTGTTAGCAGAGAAACATTTTCTCATACAAAATTTTCCCTGTTGAATTTTTTTTTTAAAGATGTGTTGGTGATGTTTGTCACCATCACTGTTTGGGCCCCATTCTCACTACAAACGAGACACCTACAATTTTAATATTCATTTAATCTTTGCAGAAAAGGAGGAGATGCTGCTTCCTCAGGAAAATCTGTGCAGCTGTGTAAAAGCCCCTCTCTAGTTCTTCCTGAGATAATGCTCAGTCTTAGAGCAGGCTCAGCTCTGAGCACGGGAGCCAGGACATCTCAGTCTCAGGAAGCAGGACATAGCAGGTGCATCGCTAAGTGCCAGCTGCACACCTGCGTGAAGGTGTAGTGTGGATTTTCAGCAGCTAGGGAAGGGATAGAATGGGCTTCCGGTGAGTTGTGTTATAGTGTAGCCATTTGGGTGGCAGCAGCAGTCCTGATAGCACCTTTCCCTGTCCTCTCTGTCCCCATCTGTCCAGCCAGCAATCTTGCTGCTGCCTCGGTGTCCTTCCCACAGAGGTCAGCCACTCTGTGGCTCTGTGTGCACAGTGTTCTGCTCTCACTGCTGTCGCCCTGTTGACCTCAGTCTCCCGCAGTGGTCTGCAAGGCCTGGGGCTGGGGGGACCCAGGCGGGGGGATCCACTCAGTTAGTGTCATGGCTGCATCATAGGTGGTGAGCCACAGAGTCCTGTTCACAGAAGACCTAGTGCCCATCAAACTTCAGGGGACAGCAAAGCATCGTCAAGGGGCTTCCCCTAAAACTATGCTGACACACTGAGCCTGGCCCACTCAAGGGCAGACTCTGAGCCTCAACAGTGGTGTTGTGTTTGACTGATTGCTAAATAGCAAATTTGTTATTAAAGCAGGCAGCACAAAGAAATGGATTTCTAGAAGTTGCATGTGCTTGTAGAGTACTTGCTAGAATAAATATGTAAATAAGGCACTGAAAAATATAATTTCCAAATTAAGCCACAGAGCTGATCCGTTATTTTATCTACACCTATAGCCAGGAATCCATCGAGGAGGGGCTGTACAATTTTAAGTGGTTTTGGGGTTCATTAAGGAAGTGGCTATTAGGGAATGGGGGGCTTGGAAGAGTCCTCATGGAACAGGGTGGCAGGGTGGAAACCATGCAGAAAATGTGCTTTTCTAGTTCACTCAGAGCAGGCGGTGGTTCACCCATGTCACTACTTTGTCCCAGATTCCACGGTTCGGGATTTAGAGCCCATTTCTCAGATGAGGAGACTGATCTTCATAGGCTTTGTGAACAAGCCTGTAACAACCTATGAACTGCACTGAGTGCTCTGCCAGTTTGACAGGGAGGGTTATGCTGTCACTGCCACTTGACCCCATGGGCTTGGAGAATCCGAGTTCCTTCTGCAGGTCTCCTGCAGCAACTGCAGACTCACGCCCGATGTGCAGTCGGGTTGATTCCGTAAGCATCCTAACAGTTCTGGGAGGAAGGCTGCGTTCAGGCAGAGAGAGTGGGCTCGCAAATAGCGGGTTGGCTGGAAGCTTCCTACAAGGGGAGAGTGAGCAGAGGTGCATGACCTTCCTTTCCAGTGCTGTTTTCCAACAGCAACCCCAGACTTTGAAAACAAGCTAGTTGGCCCTAGCTTGTTAATAATTTGCAGAGAAGGGTTAACATTGATTGACTTCTAAATTATTTCATGCTTCTGAGGCACAAAGGTAGTGAAAAAAATGGGTCTGGAAACTCCCTTTCTCTATGCAGCATGGTTATGAACAAGATGAAACCCACAAACAAGACCAGCCCAACCACCGACACCCCATTACTAGTTAGCCTTTGTTCTCTAATCAGAGTTCCTTTTACTCTTCAACCTTCTGAATTGTTTAGCAGCTTTGTTCATAAAGGAAAAGAACTTGAACTTGACTTTTCAATATGCTCTGATAAGCCAACCTAAAGCATTTTAAAGAACGATCACATTTTCTCCCTCCCTATAGACAGAAATGAGGGTAATGTTGTGACATGTTACTAGAGGCAAAAGAAAAACAAAATGAACCCAAATCAACCACTACTACCATTTGGTAAAAAAAAAAAACATAAGGGTTAGAATGAGTGCTACCTAGTAGAACGTTCTGTCTGATGGAAACTTCTCTGCCTATGGCTGTTGAGTGTTTGCAGTGTGACAATTGGCTAAGGAAGGGCATTTTAAATTGCTTTTAATTTTAGCTACTTTGATGACCTTGCTTTGTGGCAGTGCAGGTGTAGATTGCACTAGAATCGTGTGATACTAAAGAGATGTCTAAGATTTCTCCAGGTTTTCCACTCGGCCACCTTCAGCTCCTATCACAGTGGAGACCAGAGCCACTGCCAACTGCTGGCTTTTCACACCCCAGTGACCCTGGAATAGAACTCCAGAACACTCAAAGCTGAGTGAGTAAGCCCCATGCTTCTGTGACTCCCTAAATCTGTCAGAGGTAACCAGAAAACTTGCTCAAGCAACTTAATTTTGTTATCCTAACAATATACTTAGAGCATAGCCCTAAACTGCAGAAAGGCATCTCTACCCACAGGGGATCAAAGACTTTCTTCTTGTGGTTGCAAAGTAACCAGTACTAGGAATTATGTATTATAAGAAGAAACACACTGTGTTACAAATGGAACAACATATCTACTTGCTCTTTTACAGTCTCCAAAACATGTGCTCCTTGGGGGAGGGGGGCACCCAGGGGGGAAAACACTGCTAAGTACCTTACAGTCAGGTGGGAGACAAAATGAGGTTCCAAGAAACCAAATTTTACATAAATATCTCACAGATATAACACTATTGTGTGATGGATGACTATGAGCAGCAGTAAGGAATTCAGATGGTTTTAAAACTACAGTCTTGTTTTCTTTTCATTCCTCATTTATTAATTTATATTTGTCATTTTGACTTCATATATAGTTTTTCATGTCCTAGGGTTTCTGAGTAACTTTCCAAAACTAACTTTTTCTTTTTTGTTCAAATGGGAAAGCCCACGCTCCACTGTAGATTTAATTTTTCCTCACTGTTTCGTCTCCTATCACAAGTAGGTGACATCTGCCCTGATCACTCCAAAATTTCACTTGCAGGGAAATGGACTCTCATAGACACAAACTGAAGCTTTTGTTAGACTTTGCAAGACTTTCTGAGGCTAACTTATGCAAGCTTGTACAGTTTGTTTGCAACGTTCAAATGTGGCTGGGGCTTCATTTTCTATACCTGCACTGACTTTTTAAATCTTATTCATGGTTTGTCTTGACTCTCTTTCTCATCCCCCATCTCACTAGCCTTAGCATTTTTAGATATGGTTCTTTCTTGCTCATGTTGCCAAAACATTCTTCTTATTTCTCTCACCCCATTCTGATATCTGCACCACAAGTCCAGAACCAAGGTCCAAAAGTAACAGTGGCAGAGTCACTGCTTTGGGTTCTCAGGCAGTGCATGGATGTGTTCCTCTGAGCTTCCTGGTGGGCAGTACATTCTCCCTCCCAGGAGGTCCTGCCCTAACTCTCCACGCCTGCCCAGGGCTTGTCCACCCGAAGACATCCCCAGCTTTCACTGTTCTTAGCACAGGGATGCTAGGATTGGGCACTGGGCTCTCTTCACCACAAGAGCAGAACACGAACTTCTACTATGCCTTCCACAAAGTGCCATTCTAACCTGACTTGCACATTAAACAGAAACACCCCCCTATAAAAATTCTCACGAAGACCTGTTCTTTCCCGCGTTAAAACCACTTGGAGGATAGTTAGCACATTCTTATGAGGCAGGCTCTGCCCCGTGGTCAGATGCTTGTAGGTGTCCCTCGTCTTTTCTGTTTATTTTTTCACCGTATTTTTTGTATCTTTGGTTCATTTGTTTACCACAAAAAGAAAGTTTTATCCCACATTCAGATACCATTTTCTAGTGAGATCTACTCTGCCATTTTATTTAGAATTCCAGTCCCCAGCTCCCATTCCTGATCAGCACCCCAGCTCTATTCACTTCTCTCAATAGCAATGATATTTTGCGAAAATCTTGATTGTTTATTGTGTTTACCATCTGCCTGTCCCCATGAGAAGGTGAAGTCTGTGAAGAAAGATACACACATAAACACAGACATGCACACACACACACCTGGAACGGGTCCTAACACACAGAAGACGATTAGGAAACTGTCAGATTATCAATGATCAGCTAAGAGGCACTTGCTCTGCTTTTCATGATTCTAACACACAGCAATTAAATAGCAACTGCAGCATTTATTAATCTGTGAGAGCTTTCACAGACAATAAAACGATTTTTTTCTTTTTCTGCACAAATATTTCTAGACCAATAATGTAGAAACTTGTGGTTTCTACTCTCAAAATCCTCCTGAACTGCATGTTGTTACAGTACCCCTCCTCTGTGTGAACCACGTGAAAAGCTGGGCTTGACTTTAAATTAGATCGTAATCACAGGAAAGCCTCATTATCTGGTCAAGCTTTGAACTGGTGAAAATTTACGCAAAGCTGAGCCCAACTTTTGGAATTGATTCTGCTTTGAGGCTGCTTATTCAACACAGAAGTAGGACCAGAGTAAAGGAAAATGATGTACAAGTAGCTTTTCCCTAAGAGGCTTAGAGATTTGAATAAATATTATTTATATTTAATGATTAAGGAGCCAATGGCAAGCCAACAAGTAGATTTACTTCTATTAAAAATATATCAGGTCCACAACAGTGCTGTGGAGCACTCCTAGGCTGGAAGTGAGAGCATCACTGAGCTGGCAGGAGGTTGGCTCAGTGGCCTTTGCTGACCTTCGCTGGCTGTGTCTTTGGCAGCAGAGAGGCAGGCGCTCACGGCCTCGTAGGAGGCACTCAGCCGGGTGTTGGGGTCCCTCTTTGGCTTGGGTGGAGGCTGTTTCCTTGGTGATGGGAGGGCACTGCTGTCATCCATGCTGGACACTGAGTGTAGTGATGGAGACCTGAAGGAAGGTCCAGCAAGAGCCTGGGCCAGGTTGTCCATCGCCATGGGAACTGGGCCAGAGCTGGAGTGGACATGCCGGGGCCCAGCCTGGTCTTCAGCTCTTAGGGGAAAACAAAACACAAACAGCCACAGACCACAGAGGTCCAGATGCATTACTGAGATAACAACAACGAGCCTGCTCCCGCTTGACATAGTGAGGGCTCCTTGGCAGAGAGCCTGTCCCAGGGCTGGGGTGCTGGAAGGCATGTGGGCAGCACCCATGGGTGATGGGCTCCTCTGGAGGAAGCTGCCTGCCTTCAGTTCCAGCCCTGATGGATATTTGTCACCATGACTTTTTAAAATTCTCACCCCAATGCAGCACTGCTTAAGGGGCTTCACGTTTTTCTATCAGGCATTCACTGAATGAATTTTTCACACTCTGATTCTTAAGCAAATCAGAAACCCAGAATTTCAATCTGAATGATAATTTCTGGGAAATCCATCTTAATAGAGAGTTACTGATGCAGCAAGTTCATCATTTCCCGTCTCTGAAGGGATGTGTGCTCTCCTCAGCACTACTGAGCACTTACATTTTAGCATTTTCTCTCTCTGTCTCTCTGTCTCTCTCTCCCCTTTGCACTGAAATTCCACCAGCAATTATTGAATTAATGTGCAGAACCATTATTTTTCCTGTGACTCCATGTGGCTGCCTAGTGCCAAGTGAACTGCTGGTATTCAACAAATAAACAGACAAATGCTTCTTCACTTAATTTTATATCAGGCAAATAAATGCAGAATCAAATCGAGGAATTGGAGTGACTGTTGAGTTCCAGCAGAGAAAATAATAAATATTGTTCTGGAAGTCATTGAAAATGAATAGTTATCTGGTTTGAAAAATTCCTTCTAGCTTCACATGTAAATGTAATCATGCCCTAGGAAGAAAATACCCATGCATCCATTTACGAGCATTTGTTTATAATTACATCTTTCTGGGGCAGAACCCCAACAGGGCTGGAGCCCACCACCAGGCAGAGCCAGCCGCCCATGTGGAAAATGAAGTCAGTAAGGATGAGAGTGTGGCTCTTGGTGGATAATTTGTTGTCCCTGTAATGTTTAATTACAGTTTTCTGTAGAAAGGGAATTTTTCAGTGCTTAATCACTGAGATATTTGAAGCTAATTAGCAAGAGACACCATTCCCACTTTTACAAAAAATCATTCAGTCCTTTTCAGAGAGAAACAAAATATTCCCAAGTTCTGGTGGAAAACTAAAAAAAACCCATCTCCCTGACCATGAACTGAAATGCAAACAAGCTGGGTGGCCACTGTCCTTGGGAGAGCACCATGATGCACAGGTGTCCCCATCATTCAGAGAAGGAAGGTGACAAAAGCAGAGCTTGAACAGTCTGGGATTTTTATTTCAAGCTCAGCATTCCAAGTGAACTTTTAAGGGAAAAGTATTTTTTAGTTTTTCCTCTAAAGCTTTCCTTATATAATGGCAAAGAAATTATGGGAAATATAATAGATATAATTCACTTATTGAGTTCACTACTTTTATGTTTTCAGAGTGCTGCCTCCAGAAGTTTCTACCAGCCAGTGCTATATACATCACACTTACATAAAAATGTCAAAAGTCCCGTTATACACTTTTGCTAATGCAGAAATAAAATTTGAGTGAAGTTGATGTAGTTAAGTGACATAAAATAGTAGGTGAAGGAATGCTTATTTCCTATGGGTAAATTAACATATGTAGCATTTAATCCAGGAAAGAAACACAGAGGGAAAGCATTACTCAGATTGCTGGGGAGTTTCAAATCACACAGCAGCAGGCCTGTTCCCGTAACTGCTGTCACAGGGACTGGGCTTTACGTTCAGCGTGCTAGGAATTCTCTGGACTCCTCTGAGTCAGTCACAAAGGTAATTAAAGTTGCAGTCTGTCTGCCTCTACCTTTTGGTTCCTTCGTCTTGCTTGCTCCTGGCCTCAGCCTTCTCCCCGTGGTAGATGGCGTGCATTTCCTTCCGGAGCCGGTCATTTTCCCTGGCAATGTCAGAAGCATTCTGAATGACCAGGGCATCATAGGTTTTCAGCGCCATGTCCTCTGTGTTCTGCAGAAAGCTCTTGATGGACGTGACCTCTTGCTGCTTGATGCTCATTTTCCGAAGCAAGTGCTGGCGTGCCAGAAACCCTCTTATAACTTCACAAAAGAACACAACCCTGGGTCAGTAGATGGAGCAAAAGGGAAAAATCCAGAACACACATGGACACAAATCACAGCTCCAAAATAAGATGCATCTAACCCAGAATGAGAATTTACCAGAACATTCCACTGTATTGAGAGGGATGACTAAATTCAGTGAAGGCGGTGCTAAAGGCGACAATTCTTGGTCTGAGTGAGGTGGGCAGGTAAACCTGACAGTCAAGTTGCCCCCGTTTTTTTGTAACAAAAGAGAGTGTTATGGCCTAGAATTAAATCAGTGGGAAAGAACTAGCTCCAAACCCCAGAGAATTTGGGGGTATGGATCTCACTGCACAATTTTGGGAGGCCCTGGTTACTTTCCGTTATATCGTATTATTTCAAGAAATGTCTACAATTCCTGGAGTTAGTACCTGAAATATTCATGTGCTGTTTTTAAGATTTTAATTTAATTCCTAGAGAAATTAACACTGCATTGAAGACTAGAGAGATTGTGTGGAAATAATGAGAAATATATCCTTCCTAAAAAGTCTAGAAATATGTGTAAAAATGTGAAGAAACCCACAGCAACTGTAAGAATCAAAAATAAAGGTGAAAGAGCACTATTCAGTGACATCCGTCTTCTATTATATCATTTAATAAGGCTGGGACAGAATGAGAACATCTACCATTACCCCCATCAGGATACAATGAGAGTGGAATTCTGTTGGTTTCACTAATTCCTCCCTGTAAACACAACTCCATAATGGCAGAGCCATGGCTCAAATCTCTCTGTGCTGCAGAGGCCCAGCTCCCTTTCCCCAAGCCTGCAGTGGTTTAGATGTGATTTGTGGCTCTCCACAGGGACAGATCAGCAAGTAGGGAAGTCACAGGAAGTATATTTGCAATCAATAGGAGGAAGAACTTGCTAACAATTAGCAAAGGCTGGAAATGGAGCCAGCTGCCTCCTGAAAAAAGGGAGTTGGCCCATCCCCGAGAGTGGGCAAGCTCCAAGACCTCTCTTTGTGGAATCTGGTGTCACACGCTGCCTGCTGACTTCTGACATTAGCCTTTCAGCGTCTATGATGCCATAACCCAAGGAGGAGTCGTGGGTTAAAGAAGACCTCCAGTTTCAGGGAAAACCAACAAATGTGTCGCAAAAGTACTTTGTCCTGGTCTTTGGGGGAGGGAGCTTCCTCTAAGACATGAAATGCCGTGAAAACATTCCACAGTCATCAAGGAGCCAACAGGGGCTATCTAAAAGATCTGCTCTGGTGCCCTTTCTTGATTAGAGGGTTTCTCCAATTAGTAGGGCCTCAGAGGAGCTAATATGCAGGCATCCACACGCTTAAGGCTTGTTTCCCATGCCCCCACCCTCAGAGACAACGTTAAATGTTGAGTTAGTTTGGAATGCAGTTGCATTAAGTTAACTGCAAACAGTCATGCTGAACTAATCCAAACAACAACAAGAGTCAAGGAGTAAAAGGTAAGCCAGACTTCCAGGAATATAAAACGTGGAATAAAATAAAGAAATACTTGGTCTGTCCTGCTCTTTCTCATTATGTTTGTAAGGTGAAGGTGAAAGTGTGTTTGGTGTTGACTCTCTTAGAATGCAGAGAAGGTTGATGTGGGTGTTTCAGACTCCCACCCACCAATGCAGAAGAGCCACTCAGGGCTCCTGCCCACTCCTCACCTGGGGAGTCTATCCTCTTACACTCAGGTGACTCTGTTTCCTCACAATTCATCCAAGCAGTCTACTCTAATTCTTTAACAACATTTCTGCAAAGATGCAGAAAGTCAGCATCTTTAATAAGGGAAAACTAATAAAAATTAACTTGCACAAACAGATAATGACATTTATCTTCCTGACAATGTGACAATGATTATGTTGAGCTCATCAATAGCCAGCACTGTCACCCAGGACACGATGCACATACACAGAGCGAGGTTTCCTAGGAGGAACAATTGGGAGTCACAATGGTCAAATTGAAAACTCAAAGTTGCAGCTTCGTTTTCCTTGAACATTAACTAAGGGGAAAACTGAACTTTTTAAAAACTGGAAATTACTCCAAATTATATAAATTTGGAGTGAATTTAATATTAGCAGAAAACATTGAGAGAACTGTTCTTGCAGCAGTAAAACTGAACATCAATAATGAATGTTTCACATTTAAGAGCCTGTAATTTTTAAAAAGCTTTTATGTCCATTACTTTCTATATACAAAATGAAATTACAGCTTTTATACTGAAGCTGGTTGTGAGCCGTCCTGTTTTTATCTTTAGGAAGGTGACCAGAGAGTTAAACTTTTGTTCATGTCTTCTGCTCTGGGTTGCCTGAGTACAGCACCTTAATCATTATAGCTAAATAGAAATTTTAGTGGGTGTGTGATGGAAGATGGGCAGAGAGTCCTCTGATTGTGTTTAAGGTGACGTCCCAGGAAAATGTGGGATACCCTGTTCTGTGTATACACAACACTATATTAAGTGAGACTTTTCCTGTCCATTTCAGCTGTGGCTGCAAATACAGATTTGGATTCAGTCCTGTGGGGACTAAGACTGCCTTTCCAAGCAGCCCCCAGGTGAGACAGGGGCTACAAACTCAGATGCCACCTGGGTTGGTGCAAGGCAAACCATACCAATGGGCTCTGTAAGAGTAGGGAGCCCCATATAGACTGGGGTCAGCCTTTCCCTTGCACAGGTGAAGGATGAAGTTATGGTGCCAGACTATCATAGCCCTGAGAGAAGATGCACTCCGAACCAAGAGGCAAGGGCTGCTCCCTCCCCATCCCCCAGGGCTTCCTCCTGGTCCAGGTGACTTCAGGAGACCTCTCAGAGAGCTTGGCATATGTCTGCTGGCGTTGGGTGAACACTGTGCCCTGCAAGGCCCAAAGGACAAAATTGTGGCCATCTGAAGGTGTCTGCAAGTCTATTTCTCAGGCACAGAAGTGGTTTTCAACCAAGGAACGTCTGCCGAGGTGGAGGAGAGGGCTGCAGGGTGCCCTGCAGGGGTCGGGGTGTGAGAAGGGACCTGCCCAGGGGAAGTGTTGCCAATTCGCAATGAAGTGTTTCTGATTAGGACAAGAATCATTTGAAGGGCCCCAGCTAGAGAGGCAGTGCCAAGTCACAGCGTGTGCCCACTGGACACCCATCCTTACCACTTCCTCCTCCCACTCCTCTCAGTTCTGGAGGATTTGAGGTATCTGAGTACAGAGGAATTGGGCTCATGCCCAGTCTTCCATGAAATACTCTGTACTGATCAGAGACCAGACCTGAAGTGGCCGAAAGTGAAGTTTTACCTAAGAATGAGGTCATTCCTTGGATTTCAATACCTTGCAAGGTGGTCATTACCTGAACTGGGCGTGTTAAATTCTGAACGGAGACTGCTTGAGGAAAAGCGAGCACCAGGACTTTGTGTCACCATAGATTGGAGGAGGGGGAACCCAGTGCAGATTTTACACAGGGTCACAGCCAGTAGAGAGGCTTGGATGGAGTAAAACTTAAGTCAGCATGGGTTCCTTCCTTAGAATAACAGTTTTACATACATCAAAGCCTCAAGTTTGCTGTGTCACACCAAAAGCTAGCATATAGATTATTTTCCCCCTCTTTCACCTTTCTATAAAGAATTAAACACGTAAGCATATTAAAGTTCTAAAAATCTACTAAGCACATCTACTGCCATGATGGAATGAGAGGCATAGATGTTTTGTAAAAATGGATAGAAGGGCAGAGTATGATCAAAGAACATTGTATGCACCTATGGAAATGTGACGATGAAACCCTTCAGTCTGCTCAAGTTAATATACATCACTAAAAAAGAATCTATCCCTGAAAAAAATAAACTTTTTCAATATCACTTGGATTTGATCTGTCCCAAAGTTACATGTTGGTATCAGCCATCAAAGAATCACTCCAAATATTATCTTCCCTTCAGTAAGAAAAGGAAAGTCAAGGATTTTCGAAGGCATGCATAGAGTTACAAAAGATGTTACTGGCTTCTTTCAGCTTTCCAAACCCTAGCACAGGAGAGGTGCTGACCAAGGCCGTAAGAATTTGCTCTATTACTGCAGTGAAAGGCCAGGTGGGTACTTCTTCCCACTGTGCAGTCCAAGGTACAATGTTACCGGCCCATGCTTCTTAAAGGGAGCAAGAAGTCTGGATATTTGCAAGCTAATGGATGCATAAATAGTGAGATATGTATAGTCTCTCCTCCAAATTGCAGTTTAGGAGAAAATTTAATATAAAATTTCACATGTAATCTACCTAATAAGGCATGAGAAGTGTCTCCCAACACCGATGTAGAGATGGACACATAGCAAATTGAGTGACAGTACTTCCTATACACCCAGAAGTGATCTGCCCTGATGGAACATTTGGAACTGATGGGGTGTCCCATGACAATGCTGACCCCACTGGGGGTCGCACTAAATGATTTTACATTTGGGGGTGCACTAAATGATTTTGTGTCTTACAACTCAAAAAGATTGTGAAGTGCTCGTGTATAGCAGTTACCTTTCTGGCAGGTTACAATCCTGTGCTGCAGCTGAAGACACAGATCATGGAGCTGGTCCGGGTGCCAGTACTTCAGAAACACTTTGTGGACTCCCATCTAAAATGCAAACAGCAGGGACACACTTAACAGCACAGCAATGCCAGAATGATGGCAAGAAACAATCAGACAGGACGTTTTTCTAGTAGAGGATTGGAAAGAGCAAACTAACAAAATTAACTAGGAAACTTCTCTCTTATTTTTTTTAACATCAAAAGTTTTGTTCTAATACAAATGCTACCTGAGTGTGCACATTGTCACTGGAGTGGGCAAATGTCTCTGCACTACTGATATCCCAGGGAGTTGGCCTTGACTCCGCCTGGAGATAACACTGTCCTTTGGAATGAAAGCCCCCCCAACCAAAATCACTTCATCATCTTTCCTGGGCAGTTTCTCTTTTCCCCACTCACACCAGGGAGACTGAAGCTGCACAGAAGAAGATAAACACAAAGAGACCAAAACTAAACATCAACCTGCTACCTGAAGTTGTTTTACTTCGATTACTTTCCCTACGACATCATGCATTACTGTAAGTGCAAAGACTACACAAACTTCAGCACAGAAGTGCAGCCTCCAGAAAGTCATCTCTGAGTACAAATCTTCTACGTGTTTGCAAAACAGTAGTTACACTTTGCTTGTACCTCTCCAGGATTTTTCTAAATCCTGGCATCATATCTAATCAGTTTCTACAGAAAGTCTTAGAGTCACCCAAGCTTGTCTAAATGTAATACTACTGATGAAGATAACTGCTAAAAGAAATTCCTAAGTACCAGAATGGCAAGCTATAGCCATACATGTGTAATTAATTTTTTTGTGTGTTGTGTGTATTTTTAAGTACTCACAGAGACAGGGTTGGTGTCAGGGCTGCCCCTCTCAGAGCAAGTGCTCACAGGCTCTAAGGGAAACAGACATGAATAATCGTAGAAGATGCAAGGAAGATCAGAGGCGCTGTTCCGGTAGGCAGGAAAGATACTGCTTGTGATGCATTCATAATTGCATTCTTGGCACTCGAGACAAACACTACTAACACAAGAAGACTAACGTGTGTTCCCGAGCCCGAGCAGGGGACACTAAAGTGACAACACCCACAACCCAGGCTGCACGTCTCAGTAACATGCATGGCTGGGGCATATGTGCACGCCATTAGTTACTGGATGGCTTCACAGGTCACACTTGTCTTCAGGGTGCTGGCCAAGGATGAACCTCTTCATGTGGAAACTGAGTTTACTCTAAACATGTTTTGTTACCACCAACACCCAACCTTTCCACGGACTCTTCTTTGAATGAAACCCAGTTTTGCCAAGACCATGACCCAAAGCTTGCACTGTGCCAGTCAGATGGATTCATTCCACCAATGAGGAGGGCTCTCTGCATCTGGCCTATTTCAGAGACCTGTGCTTGATTAGATGTTCGCCTTCACTTAGTTTCCATTGAGTTGGTGGAACTTTGAGACAGTCATATAGGCGAGTGGCTACTGAGTAGATGTTACTGTTTTCTTCCTTGTATTGTTATTCTCTCTCCTAACTGTGTTCCATAATTCATGGTCTTTTCTTCCCTTCCCAACTGCTGACTTATTTTGGCAGTCATCAAGAAGAACAGTTGGTCCTGTCTGAGAGCTCTGCAGAACAAATCTGTGAGACAAGCCTGGTGAAGAAGGAGGTATGTCACTTCTCTGCTTGTCACTGACTATGGGATGTACCTCATAGAGGAAAACCAAATCCCCGGGCAAAACTCCTACAAACCTGGGTTCCAAAAGACAATGCCAAGAGAATGATGGTGGGCAAGGCGCATGATGGGTGGGACCTGTATGATCACCGAGGGACTGAGTGAATGGAAGGAAAGACATAAAATGTCTCGGTGGAAGTGAAATGGAAGAACTGGGTTCTACTCTATTCCCTCAATTAAATAGAGCTGCTGTACAGGAGATGGAGGTGACTAACGCTCTCACAGCGTCATTTCTAACAGGCATTCAAAACTCCAAAGTAGGTGTATCTGGAACAATGTGTTGGACTTTGGGGACACAAAGGTGAGTGGGTGGCTCTTTGTCTCCAAGGAACTCAAAGCTTGCTGGCAAAAATACTGCTCAGTGAAATGCCAGAATTATGTCTAAGCAGCACTGAGTTTGAGAGAAGGGAGCCACCAAGATGTGGTCAGGCAGGATTTCCTGAGCCATTTGCCCTTGGGGGATAAACAGGAGTTTCCCAGGCATCTTCCAAGGGTGAGAGAAGATGAATGAGAGACAGAGAAAGCAGTCGTGAAAGGCCATGACCAAAACATGACACACCCTTGGCACTGAGCTGTGTGGACAGTGAAAAGGGAGGAAGCTCATGGACATGGTACTTCCACGAAGGGCAGTCCAGACAAAACCTGGGTGTTTCCCTTTGGAGCAATTGGGCAATGCTGGAAGAGGAAAGGGGATCTGGTCTAAATTTTACAATAATAGTCTTTTGAAATTTGTTCTGAGTTTTATAAAGTGCCTTGTGGAAACTGTCTGGACAATGGATTCTTGGCCAAAGCTTTGAGAGTTAACAGGCCAAGGAGGCAAGAGGATGCAATGAGTTGCTTGGGTGTGGGAAGAATCTGTGGCTCCCTCTGGTCTCTTTGCCAACTCCTATTGATCCCACACAAACAAAATCAATGCCAATTCCATGTCTGACAGTTGCTCCCACTTCCACTGGGGCTTCGATGTCTTCCATTTGTGTTCTCAGAGACCATATACATGATGCTTCGTTTCTCTTATTACAGGGCATCATGTGGATTTGGCATTAAATACTTCGCATCCCCTGAAGAACAGGGACCTATGTTCCTGAAGTGAACAAACATTCTGAATGTGGAGTGGCTGAATTGAGGTTAGAAAAAAACAAATGAAGAAATGTGGTCTTGTATGAGATGATCCTGTCTTCTATGAGGAAAATAAATCACGACAGTAACTGAGAACTCAAGTCAGACCCTTGTGCTTTTCAGCAATCTAGCATAAGTCACAGAAGCCAGTTGGGAGGGAGGCAATAAAAGGAACAAAGAAAGTAGACTGGAATGGGCACACCAATGGTAGAGTCATAAGTTGGAGAGCAAGGATTCAGTTGGCCCCTTCTTCTCCTCCTCTAAGAAAAGGGAAGTGAGAAAAAGTGGATCCTCATACTGGAGCATTCAGGAAATAACCAGTTTGGGGATTAGATAGAAACACTAAATTAAAAGAAGATGAAGTGGACCTGGTGCAGGTGGTTGGTAAAGGCACTGAGGGAGTCACAGGGAAGATCTACATGTCACCTTAGAGGTGGATGTAGAAAAATGGAGTTCTCATTGGGAGCCAGGGCTGGGATTGCAGCAAGGAAGCTGCAGCCGAGAACCTGAATCACAGTATGATGGAGGAAGGGGGATCGGTGGTAGGCAGACACATGCAGTGCTGGGCAGACGCACCTGTTACCAAAACTCCTGGCAGGCGTTTGGTGTGATTGCATCTATACAAATCTGCCTCGCTGAGGTAGAACCATGGCTCTGCATGCGATGAGGGACTTCTGGGGTTCTGACCGAGGAGAATGGAAGTCTGAACTCATGCAGAAACACCCCACTAAGATAAGGCTAAAGACGTCGAGGAATGGTGGGATTATGCTACAATTACACTCAGATAGCTCTGCTCATCCAACTAACTCGAGTACACTTTTCAGGTGTCCAGTGGACAATTATACATCATATTATTTTGTATTATACAATTTATATGTGGACTGGCTGTATTTGGAGATGCTCTTTGAGAGTTTTAGTATTTGTTTGAATTGGATGGCCTTTTATTTTTTAATTTCAATATTTAAAATTTGACATAAAATTTGGCATCTCTATGGGGAACCATCTGATGTTTCAGTGCATGTATACATTGTGTAGCAAATCAGGGTGAGCATGTCTGTCTCCTTAGACATTTCTTACCTCTTTATGGTGAAAACATTCAAAAACCTCTCTTCTGGTTTAAAAAAATACAGTACACTATCATCTTGTGTAGTTAGCTTACAGTGTCATTGAACACCAGAATGTATTTCTATTACATTTTGCTGGTATTTGTGGTATTTGTAGCAAATGCTTCTTCTCTCTTAGCAGTTGGTTAGTATTTTGGAGTTCTTCCTTCAAAACCATCCTGAATTTAGTCCTCTATGTGCACTGATGCTAGAGGTTAACAAGGACATAAATCTAAGATTCTTTAGCAGGAAAACCAAGACAAAATGACAGGAATCCAGAACATTAGCGATTCTCATGGTCTGCTGATGACACTAACCACAGAAGAACTGCTGGCCACTGTTGTTACTGTCCTACGGAGTGACTGTCACTGTGCGTGCAGTCATCGTCGTGTTATGCTGTATTCATTCGTATAAGTTAAGACTCATCAAATCAGTCCAAGAGTTTGCATTACTTATGTCCTTGATTTTGGTAACATTTGCCATGAAAAGATGTCTCCCATTAACCAGAGACAAGGGGAGCTTGAATCGCTCCCCAGCTGAGCCTCTTCCTGTGGCTCTTGGAAGCAGAGGGTCCTTATCTGAGATGAAAATGCGAATGTCACTCTGACCCTTGTAAAATAAACCATTTGTGAATCACAGTCATCTTGATCATCATTAGAAAACCATTTTTTGAAGTGGCAAATTTTAAAGGATTAAGCAAAATTGTTACTGACGGCTTCCAGAGCTCCAATCTTTGCTCCTGTTCTCAGGGATTTTTTAGGAAGCACAGGCTGTGGCAGCAGACAAAAGCTGGGATGCTGGGATGGCGGTTGATAGGGTGTGGGTGGCACGGGGGCTGTATTAGGAGGGAGTTAGCAAGGAATCCTGTGAAGCACTTGTCGTTTTGAGCACAATTTTGAGGAGTGCAGTGTGTTTCTGGCAGTAACTTTGAAATAGCATTTACAAAGAAAAAAATGTAGCTATTATCCTTTGATAGTGTATGGGATGCACGTTTTTCTCTGCTCTAATGAGAGTGAGAAAATGATTACTGTGAGTAATCCTACCTAGGGGCAGTATAGAAAAAGAGTGCTGCCCTCATTTTGTTATGTCCATGAATTCTAGATCTGAGGAAGACGT